CATTGAAGAGATCGTAAACTCGAATAGGAATTGTTTCTTTTATCTTTCTATTCATCCCATCATTCATCGCCAGCACACCTAACATATTGGCTATCACAGCAACACCCTCCAGCTAGTGCTTCCAACGGAAACGCCTCCACTGAAGAAGGGGCGCGCGTCTGCGGCAGCTGCTCTTTCGTCTCGGATTATTAGAGAAATTCCATCAGGTGAACGATCGGATGGTTTTCAATACAGCTGCAGTCTGCGAAAACTCAGTTTTCTGCCTCGTCAAACCTTCATAGACTCCTTGTTTGTTGTGTTAAAAAAAACCACTTTGCTTTTCAGCGGGCCCGATAATTAGTATTTAAAGAGACGTCGTCATGTCTTGAAGGTCACGAAACATTTATTTCACGACTTTTCTATTAATTCTGAAACCATATGAAGGTTTAATGCTGTCAGAGTATTGTAAGCCTTGCTGTTTTCCTACCACTTCTCATCTGCTTCGCTATAATCATCTTCTTGTTCTGTTGCTCTGCTTTAACAAACACTTTTCTCTTTTGCACCAAGAAAATTTTTGTGTATATGCACATATGTATATGAATATATGTGTACATAAGGATAAAGGATAAGCTGTCGGCGTTGATCAGTCCTGTGGTATACGCCTTGCATTCGACTTCAATAAGCATGGTTTGGAGGTGATTGAGTGATATGCACATATCCGGCCTTTACAATGTCTCGCGGTGGCCGGCCGACGTATGGAGCCAGTGGTGCTATCCTCTCAGACAAGTCTGGCACCAATTTACCGACCCCGGAGGAATGGAAGGCTTGATGGCCCATGGGTGCGGTGATCGATTCCACGTGCGTGTTGCAGAGCGCCTCCGACCACTGGGCCACACGCGCCCTACATGTACATATGTACATAAATATATAGAATTATAAATGCTAATAAGAGCATCAAGGATGTACATAGTGTTCTCTGCTTCAATCCAGTTTTTGCTCTACTCTACTACTTTGCTGCCTTTCCAGTCGGTACCACTTTTTGTTAAACATACTACCAAGGTGATGCTGGAAGTATTTCATGTCGCACCACAAGTGCGAAGTTCCAACTACGCAGATGACGAAAGACGCTGCCGTGTATGGCGTGTCGAGAATCGGTTGAGCCGGACACGTAACACTTCTTAACGGCAACTGTTAAACATGGAGTTGCTAGCGTCTAGGTTAACGGAGTGCCCAGGTCTCTAAAGGAAATGCACCTACCCGGTCGGCAGAGAAGAAAAATGTGTTTTAGAGTTCCTGGGACTAGCCAAACCCACTACCCTATTCTTTAACGGTGCAAGGAAAACTCTATACGGTAAAGTCTAACATGCAACCGGTGAATATGTAAGCGCGAATAATAATGAAAACAAGTGGCCTCATTTAAAAAGAAATAGAAACATAACGGAGAAGATTTTGAAGTAAGGGTTACGATCCTCGCGCAAGAATCGAGAACACAAGCGCGCAAAACTCTAGAGGCATTCTGGATAAATTCCAAGAATCCGAAAATGAACCGCAGGGAGGAATGCCTCGTTATCACGCGTGATATTGGACAGTATATAAACCTGTTATTCTGATGGGAGAGGCACATTACGCTTCCATGTGAATTCTGTGCGGTCGGTCTTCACGCGACATACTCAGTGGAAGACTCATAGAAAGCGGTAAGTGTGCAGAGCCATGCTAAATGTGATTGAAATCTTGGTTTAGCGCTTTCTCTGTTTGGTTATGGAGGTGTTTGGCCGAGTGGATTGCTGTCAACTTGACCCTTCCAGGCTCTGAGGAAGGCGAAATCCGCCGAAACGTCAGCTTGTGCGTAAATAAAGGAATAAAATAGCACCTCGTGCTTGCTTAACAGAAGTAGAAAAATAGAACTGTATCTTGTTTTGCATGCTGGCCGTGAACATTGGGCAACTGTGGCGCAGAGAGGGGTAAATTTAGTGACTATTACTGCTGTGCATCACCCATTGATTAAAAGAAATGTTTAGTGTTCATCAATCTCTGAGAGATGAGCCTTGCATTCGACTTCATCACCATCGTTTGAACTAAATGAATGAATATCTGGCCTGACTTGAGCTGGCTGCCGATGTGCCAACTCAGTGCCAGTATCCTCCTAGACAAGTCTGGTATTACGACTGAGAGGCTTTCTTAAGTATCTCTCTATATCCTACCACGAAAATTATAAAAAATGGTTAAAGAGCACCAATATTGCTGATATCATTCCACTATTCAAGCTGCGTTTTCCTCCCCTTTCTTTTACTCCACATTTTCATTGTTGTTGTGGATGTTCTACATTATACAATGCTTATATTTCGAAAACAGGCCATTATTTGACCCCGGTATACTAGTCAATACCCTCTTTGGTTACAAAGACAACACGACGTTGATAAAACAAAGGTTAGACAAAAGTATAAATTAGCCGAATAATCCTTGTTTATCAACTTCGTGTCCGCTTAATGATACAAGAAGGCATATAACACTCATTCAGAATTCCTTTACCGCATTCTTAACGTTTTTGCAATGAGTATTGCACGTGATTTTTTCCAAAAAAAGGCGGTCACTTTAGGTATGACCACCACCAAACAATAGGCAAAGATTATGAGGCAGTTAAATGCTGTTCTCGTTGCTGGAATCGGAATTGTATTTCTATTCTTGAATATTTATGCACTTTTGGAGATACTACGGCTCCTCAGAGAGAAGCATTTGCAGCGCCCTGGCCATCACCACCAGCATCCCGGTGAGGACGGTTCAGCTTTTTTCCGTTTTTTCTTCTCTCTTCAAAAATTATGTAAAAACGAGATAGGGACATTACTGATATGTGGACAACTCGGTCTTCGCAACTGGAAGAAAAAACGCTCCACTTGAATCTCGATAACATGAAGAACATCATAGCACTAGAACGCCCACGTTTTCAATTGTCCGCTTTTGAAACTTGGAGCGACATCTACAAATTTCGTAGTGGATTAGGAATATGTCCTTCTCAGCGCATAAAGTCGATATGAGATTCGAGGTTATTTCATATCTATGAGGTGTCCGTCCACCTACACCAGGCTTGTGGTTACAACGTTGAAATCCAAAAAAATCTGCTAATTAATAAGTTCTCATATTCTATTCCATAAGCGCGGGTCTGGCTCAGTGGTCGGAGGCACCAACACACACATGGAATCGAACCCAGTGCCTCTGGCCCACCAAACCCTCTATCACCACAGAGTCAGCAAATTGGAACCAAACTTTTTTAGAAGGATAGCAGCACTCACTGGCCTGATACATCTGTAGGCTTCCGCGAGTAATTGTAAAGGCTGGATATGCATTCAATCACCTCCACGCTTAATGAAGTCGAATGCATGGCGCATTCGTCAGAGATCGATCAACGCTGGAAGCTTTATCCTTCATTCTTTATGCTATCCCATTCATCAACTTTCTTTTCTTCTAACCCACGTAAGAACGTCTTAGCTGTACCCTCTCCAAGATTGCGAGAAGGGTCGACTCGATCAGCATTCTATGGCATTCATGAATAAGAGAAAAAATCCTCATGCAGCGGCCGAAGCAACACGCGGAATGTTCTAAGGCCCGTGTGAATGGTCAATGCGAGGAGAACGATTCGAATGCAAGAACTGGTGAGATCCGTACACTAGATGTTATAACGGGTCATGTAAGTAAATTTAAAAAAGGTTCACATTCCAATATCGTATCATTCAAAATCCTCACTGCTACGTTTTGTTAGGATCGTATGAGGACATTTTATTTCATCAATTTTTCTATTATGTGACCCGACATTACATGTGTCATCCTCTGCTGCCTATATCAGCACTTCCATTCGACTCCTTTCCTCCCATGCACCATCCCCAAAGGTCTTCGTGCTTACTTTTTCCGCACATGGGTTCGACCGCTTTTGAGGATTTTTTCGTGTTTGGCGAGAATTTCTTTGAATTCTGATCGAGCCGATTTCTTTCCGATGTCCTGAGATAACGTGCAAGAACGTTCCCACGTGGATTATAGAAACTGGGTTTGTCCTAGTCAAGTCTGGTACCAGCTTTCCAACCCCACTAAGATGATGTTTGACGCGCCTCTGCGATGTCGAACCAGCGTTTGAGTAGGTAGGGCTTTCCCGTGAAGAACAGGATCACTATTACCGCACTACCATCTCTTTTCCGTAGTTTAATCACCTCATCCAAAAAAATCATTATTTAAAAAACGTAAGGCCACTAAAAGTCGGACACAGCACATATGCATACACGCATTCATACCCACATGCATAAAGAATAAAGCTCTCAGCGTTTATCAATCCATGAGGGATGCACCATGCATTCTACTTCATTAAGGATCGTTTGGTGGTAGTTGAAGGCATATCTGGCCTTTACAACGACTCGCGATGGCCTACCGATGCATCGAGCCAGTGATGCTATCGCTCCAGACAAGTCTGGTACCAATCTGCGACCCCGGAGGGATGGAAGGCTTGGTGGGCCATGGGTGCGGGGATCGATTCCACGTGTGTGTTTCAGAGTTCCTCCGATTACTGCGCCACACGACCCCCTACCCATATATATATATATATATATATATATATATATATATAATATATATATATACAGACCACATTTGAATACCACCATAATAGTCGAAAGAGGAAACTCGGTATCGGCAGAAAAAACGAATAAAGGAAATCCATCGGTGACAATGCTATTCTGTTACCGCTATCTACGTAAATCTTTTATGTTAACGAGAGAGCTGTAAGAGCTGAATTCCATTCATCAAAATATTGTGTTGTTTCATGAATGGTGCCGAATGTAATAAAATCCCATTTCGCCAGTTCTGAATCGCCCATCTGTCGTTATCGACTTCGAGGGTCCAGACTGCGGTAGACTCACCCCAAATACGAGTGGTCATGAACGTCCATTCAATGAAGTCGGCTTAATGTGTATCCAGAATGTTTGTAAGTAACGTTGGTGGAGTTCATGAAAAATTCGTCAAATAAATTTGAATATAGCGCTTTAGGTGTTCTCGGTGTAAAACTTGCTCGCCAGGTGATCTAGCGCAAGCGACAGTGTACAATTGTAGCTGCACACGATTTCACCGCGGATTCGTTTTGAATCGACTTCGATATACTGTCGGCATTTGTGCTGCTTGGTAGCAGTCGTCCAATTTATAGCTAATTGTACTATTCCCACAGCCATTTCCATTTCCATTAGACCATGAACACAAGAATGCGGTGAGTTTCGTCGAATGACACCGTTCGTCACCCTTCAGCAGCATAAAGATTTGTCGGCTTTGCCGCTCGAATGATAATGTGCTGTAGATCCCTCCAAGCGAGACCGCGATTTGCCTTCTACGTCAGTACAACGAGTCCAGTAGGCAACGATGCGCTTCGCGATCTAGGGACCCCCAATTATTCATTTTGCCCCAGAGTTTTTCATTGATGTTTATTCTCTAATCTGCTGGCATTGTATGGAGCTATTTAGTGTAGAATTCAAGATGCAAAAACTGTGCCTAGAATTTTTGAGGTCGAATCCTATTGTTCTAGCACAGGAACTAAAAATATTTGTTTCGAAACATGAAGCATTAGACTAAGTTAACCCCAAATCCTCACAAAAGCACCGAAGAATCGGATACCTAAAAATCAAACTTGATGTGCCTAGTTATGCCAGATCAATTTTTTCCTTAGGAACAAACCATTCCTCTTCACCTGTAAACCTTTGCTGGTGGCCTCATTTGCGAAAAAGAGAATGACCTAAACAGCAAGGGGTTGTAGAGTTTATTATGTCGTTAAATTTTTTAAAACTATTTTCCATCAGCTCGATATCAAATATTATGAGATTTCTAGTACCTCTTGCTTTCTTGTCATTTCCTATCGTCTCCTTGAAGGTCTTGGAACTCTCTGCGTGTGTGTTCGGTTGCAGTTCAAGGATTTCTGATTTTCTGAATGTCGTTGAATGCTGGCAACTCCGGTATGAACTTTCCGTCCCCATAAGAAAGAAAGGTTTGACTGAACCTGTGAGTGCTCGAGCCAGAGCCTTGTGCACATTGAACGGAATTATGATCCCTGCACTATTCGAGCAATATTGAAGTTTAGGGTTCGGATTTGTAATAAGGTCACGAAAATGCTTCACCATATAGCTTGGATGTTAATCCGATGGTTTCAAAAATTTTTGATGAAAAACCAGGCAAAAATGACATGTGATATCCCTACATAATCAATACTCTTTCAAACAGTTGTAGAATTTCCGAAATGAATTCACTACTGTTTTTGCCTGTTGGCATTCATGAAGAAGATGAATTCTCAAAAAGCAGCCGAAGGAACAGCAACACAAAATGGTCGGAGACGTTTATGAACGATGAATTCGAGGAAAACGAACGAATCGAATGCAAAAATACTAGATTCCGCAGAGTAGACATAATGACGAGTCACTTGAAAAAATATCTACTTGTTACTTATCTGGAAGCATTATCCTTAAACAAACTTCATGTGAAGCTCTGTTTATCTTATAAATTCAGAATTGCTCTCTTCATAAAGAGATCTCACACCTTTACCCTCTGTCCTGAAGTAAATCTCAAAAAAATCGAAATACCCCTTATTGGCTTGTGATCAGGTGCTGCAACAGGAGTAGGCAATGATGTTTTCGAACTATTCGACAAGCTGGACCCCCGGTCTGACATTCTTCATTGCATCAGTAAAAAATGTCGTTTCACAGCTTTCACATACTTAGAAAAATATTTCTTGATATCAGAAATCTATAATGCTTCAGATAGAATTGCAGTGCTGTGTATTAGTGGCACATCATTTAGATGTGATCAGCAGTACACAACTGACGAGAACGGCTTCGTCAAGAGCGAAGAAGAAGTTTCGAATGAAGGTGACAGCAAGGTCTTCCACACCATTCCGCGGGAAAACGACGAACCGCGTTAGTTCAATGACAACCAGGAAGAATTTCAACAACGTTTATGGCACAACGGTGAAAATGCACGCTCACCGACACCATCACAACGTCATATATGTGGACCATCCGCTTTTGGTGAGTTTTGTTCACGTCATTTGAAAACCGATATCTATTTCCATATCCTTGGATTGAGCTAATCAATTTTGACCAGTTACGCAGTTATTGAAAGCAGTAAACAAAATCGGATCTTTCTCAGTTAGGTAGCTTCCGCCAGTTAGTAGGAGGCCAGGCGTATACGACTACGAAGGAGTGTTGTACATATCGTGAGATACAACTGGATTCAATGGATGAGATCCCTATGTCTCAATTTTAGGTATGATTGCGTACATACGTATTGTATCCACCACGTCTATTCGACCAAAAGCTTGCAATCAGGTGATCGTGAACAATAAAGGAGTTCAAGGTGGCTTGCAAAAAACAAGCTAATCTATTCTATCTATGAGGAAACTTCACAGCTGGAATTTCTTCGTTGTGCAAGGGACCATCATAAGCGCAAACCGTGCGACAGTATGAAGTGATTCCTCCTCTTCAAAATTAATAAGGGCAACTTTCGAGGACGTCCTTTAAAAATAGCTCAGAACATAGTAGCCTGAAGGGGAAATTTGATGGTCAACAGTTGGAAGAACGTCTTCGCGCTTCTCTTTACACGTCTTTACCACGTCAACATCCAGACCTACATGGACGACCAAAGATTAGAAACAATGTAGCATATACCAAGATGCAGAAAATTAGTTCTTAAATATAGCCAGTGATAAGGATTTTTTACGAATTGTGTACTAAGAAATATTACGTACACAAAAACAGCAACGCGAATCACACTACGAACTTTCTACGAACGCCTTCAGTTAAAAAATTTTGGTTCTCTTCATGCTTCTGCAGCGAATGGAACCCACTACACTCGAGTGCGCCGGAGGGATGAACGGAGACTTTGTTGCAGCTTTGGTCATTTGACGACGGATGAGAAGAATAATTTTAGTGTTCACACCACATGAACATTCTAGTTGTGAACATAACCCAAATAAACTACGATTCTGAGGTCAGTGTAAAAAATCAAAAAAGTGTAAATTAAGTGACAAAATCTTTCTGTCTCCAGGTTCCCAGAATCACTACATCGAGTCAGCGGCCAAGGATCCATGTCAGCACCAACACGATTTTTGTGAGAGATTTCATTTTCTATGCTGGTTTAGTTCAGCTGTGTGAAAAGTTTTGCAAAAAATCGCTTAGGTAACTGAGCCGACCACTAACAGCACACGAATAGCAGTTTATCGACCATCACCAACTAGAAGTTCCCGTCTTACTACTATTGGCAAAACCGAGGATCCTGTCCAGAATATCACAACGTTCAACTGGCTTCCATCAACCATCACCTCCACCTTAACCTCAGACGATTCGTGGGTTTTCAGTGGTGGATGAAATGTTTTCCATTTTTGCTTCTCTGTTCGTTTTCTTCTATTCAAACCCTCTTCTTCTGTTATATATAAAACAATTCACTAGTTCATATTGTAAAAAAACATTGAAAAACCAATTTCAAGGCTTTTTCATTTAAAGTCAGGATCAAAATAGAACAACAGCATAACGTTGTAATTGTTTTCTTTAGTAATTGTCATACGTTTGCGGCATTTTCGTTCCTTTGTAGTATAATATTTCAGAGATGATTTCACAATTGTCACCGCTTTGATAGACATCGGTAGAGGTGAATGGGATCGCTACCGTCGACCACTTGAGCAATATCACTTCTTCATGGAGAACCTGCTCTCACTACAGAACAACATGGTACTCGAGTATTCTTCACTTTCTGGCGTAAATGTATCAATGTACACGATTTCAGGTTATATTCACCGACAAAGCTAGCTACGATTTTATACATAAGTATAGGAAAAATATGGGTGAAATGCATCGAACGAAGGTGAGAGGGCTCTTCCTCTGCCGAGGCGGACTGACTTAATTTATGTTACACAGAGTGATCCGACCGAGAAATTCTACCTAATGTTGTAGAGGAAAACGAATGCCAGCTAATCAACGAATTTTTCCACTTTTAGAGACTACTTAATATAAAAGTATGATCCACTGTTTGGGACAAATAAAAACCGCCATCTGTTATAACGCCATTAAAAGAAAAATTCGATCGAGTCGAATGCCAGCTTGCACGTTATGCTGTGAACACATTTTAAACGTACATCATCCAAAACAAACGTTATAAGTAGTAAAAAAAAGCTAGGTCATCTGGGGCAAATCGATACTTCTAGTATACTTCGGTGGCTTAGTTAACAGCGCCATTCTAACAGCTCCATTCTTCTTTCTCATAAAGTTCCTGTTATTTGGATTTTTATAGACTCATGACCCTGCGAAACAATTCCAAAATGTTTTCTTTCAATAAGCAGACACGACGTTGTTATTATAGGATTTATTAGGATACAATAGCTGACGTTTCGGCGGTTTCACTTTCTTCAGAGCCTGGAAAGGTCAAATTGAGATGCGATCTACCCAGCCAAACACTTTAATAACCCTAGCCGATAAAACTTAACAAATAAATTTGCATTCGCATAAGAAACAGCTTCATTCAAACACCTACCGTTTATTTATTGTAAGTATTTAAGTTAGTTGATGGATAGCAGCCGCACAGAGTAATACATGGTCGATAACTGTGTCTGTGTCAGGTCATTGGATTAGCCCGAAGTATGGCGCCAGGTCACGCGTGATGACAAGACACTCCTCCTTGCGGTTCATTTTTGAATTTTTGGCATTGATCCAAAACGCTGCAAGAGTTTTACGCGCTGATGTTTTTGATTCGTGCGTGAGGATAGTGACTCCTACTTCAAAATATTCCCCGTTGTGCTCTTATGGAAGTGTTTGGCTGAGTAGATCGCATCTCACTTTGACCTTTCCAGGCTCTGAAGAAGGCGAAATCGCCGAAACGTCAGCTATTGTATCCTAATAAATTCTATAATAACAACCTCGTTTCTGCTTATTGAGGAAAAACATCGAATTATATCAATGCCGAGGTTAACAAAAAGTCGATCCTGGAAACTACAAAATGGTAGTAGATTTGAAGAGGTCAATGATTTCTTTAGAAAGGACCATGAACATGCCATGTTCAGCACTGTCCATGTAGAATACACTACGGCATTCATTTTTCTTGCTCGCTTTTCACTACTCATCAAAGTGGAAAACAAGATGAGAAGTTATCCCCGTTCTTTTTAAGATCCACTTAGTAACGCTCGGCGATTTGCCACTTTCAAGTCACCTCGATGTCGCCAGCAAACTAATAGAAGAAGAACACCGTAATGAGCAGCTGTGGCGCTATAACTGGGACCCGGCTATGAAGGACCATCCTGAATCAAAAAGTGCCGAGTATGATGTGCTAGTCAACTCAAAGTCGTATTTCCTCTATAACGCTTCAGTGAGTTTACTTTCGAATATAAAAAAGTAATTTCAAATGACTCAGTTTTCGAGGGTAACAAACTCGGAACAAGCTATTGGGTTTTTACATCTTTGATGAGCCGCTTTCAAAAAGTAATGTAATATTTATTTGATCGTCAGTAGTATTTCTGCTCAGATGCTCTTTGAGATTGGGATTTTAAATGACCACATTCACCAAACACCCTGTCAGATTGTTTATCGATTCAACAGTAACTCTCTGATCCTAAGCATTCTTCCCCTTGTGAATATTAGCAATCTAAATATTCTTTATAGTAGACGGAGATAGCACAATTGTTAATGATGCCGTTGATCAGGAAGCAAGAGCGCTAGTTCGATCCCCACCCGTACGCTCTGCCCAATCCACGTGTGAACGCCCCAGTCCGGCTATTTCCAAGATCGCGAGAAGATTTGATTCCACCAGCACTCTACGATATTCATAAAGAAGATGAAATCTTCTACCAGCAGCTGGAGCAATATGCGAAGTGTTCGAAGACCAATGCGGATGCTGGATGCGAGGGAAACGAATCGAATGTAAGAAGTGCTAGAATCCGCGCAGTAGTCGTGATAACGGATCGCATAGAATTTTAAAAAATGTAACTATTGGGATGCCTACAGTAATGAATATGTAAATTGCTGACGTTCAACAGCAGAACATTCACAATGATGCCAAAATATTTGCAAGATTTGGAACCCGCGATTACCTTTTCTGGGAGTCAGTGCCTATTTGTGCTCCTCTTATCATTTCCGTTGATGGGTGATCGAAATTGGCTGAGAGAAAGGCAAAGCAAGGATTTCAGTGGTGCAGTGGGTAACACGTGGGCCCTCGGAATGGGTAATTGTGAATTCGAATATGGCCTAGAGTGGAAGTTTTTCAAATAGCATCATTGTAGCTGTAGTTCACATAATACTTTGCGGTTAAAAAGTAATAGGCTGTAAATAAAACATTAAGCAGGACATTCGTTTCTTCGACTCATTTCAAAATCTTTAGTGTGGAGTTTTAGCTCAGCTTTTGTGGAGTTTTCATAGTAGCCGTGTTGACTATAAGGTCTGGCTTTCAAGTTCAACATAAAAGCTATTTTTCTCTCTTTTTGGCCTACTGTATAAGAAAAAGTGCAAAATTTAACTTGTTCCTATGGTTTCCCTTTCATATTAGAGCACCGTCTTATGGCGCTAATTGAGCACTAATGTCAGACAATAAGCGACAGTCTTTTCTTCTACCGCATGATATTATCGAGATTTAGAGTGATCAAAAAAAAGCCCTGTGGCTGTCCTAATAAAACCTGGTGAGTGACATTGCAGCTGGCGAATCGCCAGTGGGCGTGCCAACAACCAGCCACTTCCGAAAGTCATGCCAGACACGGTAGCCGTGGTGTGGCCACGCCCGCGTTCAGTGAACCGCTCATAGACACCTAATGAAAGCACTGTTGTAAAATTAGTGTTAATTTTAAAAAATTTAGAAATACTTATAACAATAGAATTGGCAAGTCAATAGCGTTAAGTCGACCAGCCTACTCGTCGGTTGAAAGCCAAGCCAAGAAAGCCAAGAATTCTATAACAAGAAAAATCACGCATTTTTTGATCTGAAAACCATAAAGGAAATATTTTTACTTGTTTACTTCCAAAAGATCCAACCATTATCTCTTAACCAATTTGTTTTCTATTACATCTCGCTTATGTCATTGAGAATAGGAGTACAGAAAACACTTTACAGAGTAGTTTTCCCAGCGACACGATAAATATAGTCCGGATAAGTTCTGTGATTTTCTATTGAAAACGACACAAAGGCATGCAGCAAATTCCTAAAAAAAGTAGTTACTGTTGCTTCAAAAACCTTTTTCACAATGTCTCACCAAAAGAGACGTGTTCCCTATGCTCCCCATGAGCTCGCAGAGTTTATAAACTCCGAAGTTAACTTCAATAACTTTTCACAAATGACTTGCGTATTGACGGCATCTTATACAGAAAATAAGAAAATACACTTCTACTTCCAACTTGGATAGAAGAAAACTGAAAACTATGAACTGAAACGCTTCTTTTAGTTAGAAGACCCGTTCGCCACGGAATTCTTCGTTTGGATTGATGCAGGGTACGGTCACGGCAACCAGAGTGTATTTCCATATAACAACAAATGGAAACCACGATTTCCGAAAAACAGGATCTCTCTCATTAAGGTATGTACGGCAATCCTTCATTTTCATTCACTGTTTCACTTATTTATTTTACGCGATCCATCATCACAACTCCTGTGCGGTTCTCAGCACTTGCATTCGATTCATTTTTCCTACATTCATCGTCCACAGTGGTCTTCGAAAATTTCGCGTGTTGTTTCAGCTGTTGGTTGACGGTTTTCTTTATCAATGTCATTGAATGCTTGTCGAGTCGACTCTCTTTGCAGTCTTAAAGATAAGACGTTCCCACATTGATTAGAGGACAGCGTTGGGGAAGTAGTTAAACTAATATCTGTGTTTCCTCATCGTTCATTCACTATTTATGCATATAATTTCATTTCCATTCGAAGTCCAGTTAACGGATGGCTTATAGTAAGAATTACCGTAGTCATAGTATGGAAATAGTCGCTATGAGGAACTTTCTGAACCACAAAGGTTGGCGATTATATGTGATGACGACATGAGAAAGTTCCAGGTATATACTGCACGAAAGAGAACCGCCAATAGCTAAACTAGCAGTGAGCGTGCCTCGACACGCTGCATACTGAGCTCTACTGCGTAAGCTGCGTAAGACGTCTGGCTGAGACTACAGGTAAAAAGTGATCAAATCTGGAATTTCACAGTGAGCGGTTGAAACCGGACTAAACGAACACGCTCAGGACATGCACCGTTTCATGCCATGTACGTAAAACACCAATACCTCACACATCGATCTTTACAATCTCAAATTCGTCCTGTAAGTGAGCAAAGTCAGGAAGACCGACATAAATCGACTGATGACTGGGTCCGTGTCATTCGCGCAAGAAAATTCCGTAACGAAATATCGGTGGCCTAGCTTGTCATACACCTATCTATTTCCCATTAAGTCATAAACTATGAACACCTATCATTTTATGTGGTCATTATAAGTCTCCAACCCTACGTTGAAAAGATCAATATTATTGACTGCTAATCATCAACCTGTCCAGCTAAAAAGAACGATGCTAAAAAAATAATGCCTAGGATAAGTAGCCTTCCGCTAATAAGTTAACCCAAGGGTAATAAAAAACACTTCATTTAGGAAACATTTCGGCGCTTTTGCCTTCTTCGGAGCCGGATTGGTGACCGTATTTAAACATAAGAGTATTTTAACGGCGTGACTGATGCGGAGATTATCCCCTCGCAAACGGAAGATGGTGCCTTTTCGACGCCTCTTTAGTACCGTTATTTCCGACCTGGTCGCTATATTCTCTGTGCGAAGACCAAATTCGCAAGCTGAAAAGTTCATGAGGAAAAGGTTTTGAGGTAAACCATTTCGCCAAATAGCTGGAACATTTCCTGGCCAACACTTCCGAATGACATCTCCGTTACCAAGAAAAGGCTTCTGGATGAAGGTTCAGAATAAATGCCGGCTGGAGATCCGTGCAGGGCGCCTTACACTTGCACAGAGAAACTGATGGAAGTATCTCGAAAAATAAACGGTCTAAAAAAGGCCCGTCGCCAACTATATCTATATAATATGAACCTATCCCGGAAGAACGATGACGCCATTCTACGCCATACGCCACATTTACGCCATATAGAATTCGTATGGGAAAAGAGAGCAAAAGACTAAAAACTCTTCACTCACACTAAACGGTGTTCATTCTACCACTGTTGAGCCCTAGGTTGATACCTTAACCACATCTAAAATTCTGTTAATCACTCGCAAAGAGCTTTATGCATGTCTTCTAAAATAGAATTGGGAAAGACAAGCACTAGCTAAATTTAGCAGCTGAATTCTCCGAAGACTAGATCAAGACCAAGCGAAAGTATATAGCGAGCAGTGACAGGACGGTCATAGAAATAAGAGCTGACGACTACTGCATGAGAAGAACAGTGGAATGGACTCCAAGATACAAATGCCATCTGGAGTTGTCGTCTATAAGATAGAAGGAGACGTTTATACCTCAACAGCCGGAAATCACATGACGAATCAAGGAATTAGGCTCGTAAGTATCACTGCTGAAAACATAGTGGCAAACACGGACGTCGTTGCAAAATATGCCGTAACCTCCCTCACTAAGATGGTCAGTCCAGATATCCAAGCATGTATTGAGGTTTAAAAAGAGATCCATAATGACTGGAAAAAAGAAAGTTGTTTACTAATTTTCGATAATGTGCTCTTGAAATATTCATTTGGACAGCCACAACCACAAATATTTTCGTTCATCCTTCAAGGTGTTAGGTAGTAAACAGTTCATTATGCAGGTGTGGTGTGTTGTAATTGATCAGTAGGATTCACCTCTTCAATGGTTCTATTCAATAGACAAATGGAATATCGTGTCAAAAAATGTTCTGTTATTTAATTAGTATCGAACTGAGTTCATTAGCTATAGAAACTGTCCAGCGTTTTGCTTGTATCAATATCTAATACATTTGGTCTTCACAGCCATAACTCACTTTGAGTCGATCCTCTCTTTTTCACCATTGGCTAGAGATGGGACCTTGGACGTTCGTCAGAATACTTTCATCTGATTACGTGACGACCAATATCAACCGCATTCTTATCGTTTTCGCTCTTTTGAAATGTCTGATGGATATTCCATGGAAGAAACAGCTGTGGAATAGAAGATATTGGAGCGCACGACTCGCATTTGTTCTCTCGCTCAATCACGGTGTAATCTTTTTGTTTGTATCATTACGTCACCAGCTTAGCGGAAAATTTGAAGTTTCTTATTGTTGACCACATATTCCGGATATGAAATCCTAACACTAATGACGAGCATAGCTCATCGTCCTGTAATTACACGATATTTTTCGTGAGCACTTTCAAGGTGAGGCACAAGTAACAGTTTCATTGGCAATACTTTCCGAAATCTAACTTATTTATGCATTAAGCGTAACTTCATCACTTATATGCAAACTACTCGGTTCGACAGCTGTAGATTAAGCATGGGGTAGAGAGATAGCGTTTAATGAAAGTCTCTTGTCTCAACAGAGCGTCGTTTAGGATATTGAAGTCGAACCATGTAGTTAACATTCTGCGGGTCAGCAAGTTACCAACTGGGCACAGTTATGAGAGCTATAACGATGAAGTCGGTGTTTTTCACTCTTTCTGGAATAATACATGAGTTCCCACAGTTGCTTCCACAGAATACATATTACACTGCCACGACCGACTTTCTATTAACCTCGGCATTGATCAAGTAATTTTCTTCGTATTTTTGCTGAGCAAACGCGAGGCGTTATTATTCTTTGTTCACGATTAAGCTGACGTTTCGGCGGATTTCGCCTTCCTCAGAGCCTGGAAAGGTCAAGTTGATAGCAATCTACTCGGCCAGACGCCTCGATAACCAAACAAAGAAATATAACTCGTATGAAGTGCTGAGATATTTGCAAAACTCCGGACCACTGGTGTATGCAGTGGGGAACGAACACGCGCTGTTGTCCTTACCGGAGAGCAGCGCACTTCACCACTACACCATCCGGGTCATGGTGTAGTGGATGGTGTAGTGGTGAAGNATCAGAAAAGCAGTTTTATATACTGCCCTATATCACGCGTGATGATGAGGCATTCTTCCCTGCGGTTCATTTTCGGATTTCTGAAATTAATCCAGAGTGCCTCGAGGGTTTTTCGCGCCTGTGTTCTCGATTCGCGTGCGAGGATCGTGACACATACTTCGAAGTCGTCCCCGTTATGTCTCTGGGTCCTATGCGTGCCTAGCTGGGTATTTGGTCTATTTTTGCCGGCTAGGTGTTCTTTCATGCGGACACAGAGGGGTCTACCCGTTTCGCCAATGTATTCGTCACCACACGTCTTACAGGAGATCAGATAAACTATACCCGAGCTCATGCAATCACCGTCTCTACCACTGGGGCAAATTATGCAATTTTGAGTTGCACATAGATGGTCATATAGGCGGTTACGAACTAGCTGGCGCTTAAGATTACTCGGTGGTATTTCAACTACGCTTACCGATTTCTCTAAACTCGCCCTTCTTAAGCAGCTTTTTGAACCGCAGGGAAGAATGCCTCATCATCACGCGTGATATAGGGCAGTATATAAAACTGCTTTTCTGATGTGAGGGGCACATTATACTTCCTTGTGATTTCTGTGCGGTTGGTCTCTACGTGACATACTTAGTGGAAACCTTATAGAAAGCGGTGAGTGTGCAAAGCTGTGTTCAAAGTGATTGAAATCTTGGTTTAGAGTTTTTTTGTTCGGTTATGGAGGCGTCTGGCCGAGTAGATTGCTATCAACTTGACCTTTCCAGGCTCTGAGGAAGGCGAAATCCGCCGAAACGTCAGCTTATTTGTGAATAAAGAATAATAACACCTCGCGTTTGCTCAACAAAAATACGAAGAAAATTACATATTACACTCATCCTTCATTACTAACTTTGTCTTAAGTCAGTACAGTGATGTCCATTTATCAGTGGATGTTAGGCAGTCTTCTTATATGTTACCACGATTGATAGACAGTTTTTCCTACACTGTGAACCTAAAACTTTGGTAGCTAAATTAGACAGTTTAGACACTAAAACATATCACTCGCTTCTCAAGGAGCCATAGGACATATAACCTTAAATATTCGAAGAGTGACGTCAAAGGTACGTGGTATTAAAGTGCAGGGAGCAACAGGATTAAGGATAAGAGACGGAAATATTCTAAAATGGTGTATAACTAATGCAAGGAATGTACAACTGTAGTTTATATAAAAGGATTGAGAACAGTCTTTATGTGGTGGAGAATAGTTAACTTTTATTTATTATTTACTACAATTCTTCACAGTAGGTATTACGTCAAATTCAACGACAATGATGCTGAGATATTTGCAAAACTCCGGGCCGCTCTGCTATGTGCAGGTGCACACTGGAGACGCCTCTGTCCGGAGTTATGCGAACATTTCCGCGTCATTGTGGTTGAATTTCATATAGTAGTCTGCCGTGAAAATTTGTACTAGGCAGAAAATAAAAAGTTGACGCTGTGATTTCGACTACAGTTTCGGATTAAATATGCTTAATGCCGATTTTTGCTCCCCAGATCAATCCCGTCTATGGATGATTGCTGATGGCATTCGTAGAAAGAAAACTAGCTGAGGAGAGGGCAAAACGTAGGATCCACATGATGTGGTGGTAAAGGCGTTAATAATAGCGTGTTCGATCCGCACCGCAAACACTTGCTGTCTGGAGTTTTGCAAATTTCCGAGCATGATTGCTAGGCAATATTCCTTATTTTGATTACATAGCATCACCTTCACCCATCGTCCCGTTGATCGTTGACTGACTCCACATGGCGGCAGAAAATCTTCCATTTTTCCCTATTGCGAAGACGAGTAGCCCAGTAGGTTGTTCAGCTCCCTCTACGGACTCATTGAGTGTCATATCTTTTTCTATAGTTTTCTATGAAGGACCCTCACATTCAGGTCGATGGTCTTCCTGCAGTGCATCTCAACATCCCGAGGAATACAGTACCTAGCGGTTCTTCTCCACCGGATGTCATTCATACGCATTACGTGTCCTGCCCACCTTATCTCCGCGAGTTTGATCTATAAAACAACATCTTTGATTCTCGATCGTTGACGCGGATCGGAGCTTCGGGTCCCATCTCTTACTTCTGTGGAACGGTACTCCTAACATCGTCCTTTCGACTTCGCGCTCAATAATGCTGAGTGGCCTTTCATTCTGCTTACGCATCGACCAGGTTTCTGATGCATACGCTAAATCAGGAAAAATCATGTAGTCGAAAAGGTGGGTACAGAGTCAGGTGTTCTTTGTTTTCTTCACTACATCCTCGATACTCTTGAACGCTCCCCAAACACTCTATTTCCTCCTGCTGAACTGTGGAGCTCAGTCGTTCACCACGTTGATTTCC